ACAAAACTAGAGGCACCACACTACCTGATTTCAAAGTGATTACAAAGCTACTGAAATTAAAACTGCATGGCACTGGCATAAAAACAGACATCTTGAACAATAGGACAGGAGAGACAATTAAAAAATGAATTCACACATTCATGATCAATTTATTTTCGACAAAGATGCCAAGAACACACAATGGAGAAAGGGCAATCTCTTTAATAAATGGTGGTGGAAAACTGAATATCCACATTCAGAAGAATGAAATTAGACCCTTATCTCATACCACATAAAAACCCAACTCAAAATGAATTAAAGACTTCCACATAAGGCCTGAAACTGTAAAAATACTTGAAGAACGTAAAGGAGATATTTTTCATGATATTGGTCTGGACAAAGATTTCTTGGATATAACCCCAAAAGCATAGGCAACAAAAGCAAAAATAAACAAATGGAATTGTATTAAACTAGAGAGCTTCTGTACAGCAAAGGAAACAACAGTACAGCGAAAAGACAACTCAGTTTGGAAGAAAATATTTGCGAACATATATCTGATAAGGGATGAATATGCAAATTATATAAGGAAATCAAATAACTCAATAGAAGTAAAACAAATAACCTAATTTCAAAAATGGGTACCTCACATCTGTTAGAATGGCTATGATAAAAAAAATATTAAAAATAACAAGTGTTGCTGTTGTGGAGTAAAGGGAACTCTTGCTCACTGTTGGCGGGAATGTAAATTAATGTAGCCACTATTTTTTTTTATTATAAAGATGTGGGGTACAATTCAGGATTAGGTATACAAATGATTATGCAGGTACCCTTGTTGATGAGGTATGCCCTTCCTTCTCCTAGCAGTTTCCCTCAACTGCCAATCCCACACCCCTCCCCTGACAGTTTCCCACTACTGCCAATCCCTTTCTCCTAGTATTATAATTGTTCACGGTCTGCTTATGAGTGCGAATATGTACTCTGTTCTTTGTTTCTGTGATAGATCACTGAGTATGATCGACTCTAGATTCATCCAAGTTGCTGCGAAGTCCATATGTTTGTTCCTCTATATGACTGCATAGTATTCCATTGTGTATATGTACCACATTTTAAAAATCCAGTTCAGCTTCGATGGGCAACATGGTTGGTTCCATGTTTTTGCTATTGTGAATAGGGCTGCAACAAACATACGTGTGCAGGTATCTTTTTTTAAAAATGATTTGAGTTCTGCCAGGTATATTCCCAATGGGGAAAATTCCTGGGTCATATGGAAGGTCAATTTCTAGTTCTTTCAGAAATCACCATATTGTGTTCCAAAGAGGTTGCACTAGTTTGCATTCTCACCAGCAGCTCCTTTCTCTCTGCATCCTTGCCAGCATCTGTTGCTTATTTCATTAATGATGGCCATTCTTACTGGAGGTTAGATGGTATCTCAATGTGGTTTTGATTTGCATTTCTCTGATGATGAGTGAGGCTGAGCACTTTTTATGTGTCTGTTGGCTGCAGGTATATCTTCTTTTGAGAAGTGTCTATTCACGTCTTTTGCCCACTTTTTAATGGGGTTGTTTGTTTTTTCCTTTCAGTGTGCTTGAGTTCTTTGTACATCCTAGATGTTAGGCCTTTGTCAGATATACAGTGGGCAAATATTTTTTCCCATTCTGTGGGCTGTCTCCCTACTCTCTTTGCAGAAGTTTGTTAGTTTGATGAGGTCCCACGTGTCTATCATATTTCTTAAGGTATGGGCATTTATGGTTCTGATCAGGAATTGGTTGCCAGTTCCAATTTCCTTAGGGATGTAGCCTGCATTTTCTAAGATTCTTATAGTTTGAGGTTTTATGTTTAGGTCTTTGATCCATTTAGAGTTGATTTTTGTGTATGGTGATAGGTAGGGGTCTTGTATCAATCCTTTGCATGTAATCAGCCAGTTTTCCCAGTACCATTTACTGAATAGGTTCTCCTCTTCTCAGTGGTTGTTCTTGGAAGTTTTGTCAAAGATGAGTTGTTGAGAAATTGAGACTTTGCTTCTGGAATCTCTATCCTGTCCATTGGTCTATGTGCCTGTTCTTGTATCCATACCAGGCTGTTTTGATTACTGTAGCCTTATAGTAAAGTTGGAAGTCTGAAAGTGTGATACCTCCTGCTTTGTTTCTTTTGCTAAGGATTGTTTTGGCTATTCGTGGTCATTTATGTTTCCATATGAATTTCTGTATTGTCATTTCCAGGTCTGAGAAGAATGATGTTGGTAACTTAATAGGTATTGTGTTGAATTTGTAGATTGCCTTTGGTAGGATGGACATTTTAACAATGTTGATTCTTCCTATCCATGAGCATGGGATATTTTTCCATTTGTTTGTTTCTTCTTGGATTTCTTTGAGCAGCATTTTGTAGTTCTCATTGTGAATGTCTTTCACTTCTCTGGTTAGGAAGATGCCAAGGTATTTCATTTTTTGTGTGGCTATTGTGAATGGGATTGTGCTTTTAATTTGGGTCTCTGCCTGCTTGTTGCTGGTGTATAGGAATGCAACTGCCTTTTACACATTTATTTTGGACCCGAGACTTTGCCAAAGTCCTTTATCAGTGCAAGCAGGTTTTTGACAGATTCTCTTGGATTTTCAAGGTATAGGACCACATTAATGCAGCCACTATTAAAAACAATATGCAGTCTACTCAGAGACCAAAAGCAGAACCACTGCATGATCCAGCAATTTCATTTCTGGATATATATATACAAAAATTTCTGGGTATATGTTTCAAAAAATTAAAGCACCATGTCAAAGAGATGTCTGAACTCTCATGTTCATGGCAGCATTATTCACAGCAGCCAAGATACAGAAATAACCTAAGTGCCCATCAATGCATGAATACAGAAAACAGAAAATGAAATATCACATGGTCTCACTTATAAGTGGCAGCTAAACATTGGGTGCCACAGACATAAAGATGACAACAGTAGACTCTGGGGATTCTAAAAGGGGGCAAAGGAGGGAAAGAGGAGGACAAGGGCTGAAAAACTATCTATTGGGTACTATGTTCACTATTTGGGTGATGGGTTCAATAGAAGCCCAAGTCTCACCATCACAAAATATAGTCACGTAACAAGTCTGCACATATATCCCCTGAGTCTAAAATTTTAAAAAAGTCAAAGAGATCATAACCAGAATAGATAGAAAATAATGATGAATGATTAAGGAAAAGACAAACAGTACAATAGAAAAATAAGACTTCCAAATGGCCAACAAACAAATGAAAAGTATGCAACTGCCTTAGTGATCAGAAAAAAAGCAAAACGAAACTATTACAATATATTACTATTTACTTAGCAAAATGGTTGATGCAAAAAACAATGAAAATAGCACACACCTGTAAGGATGTGGAAGAAATGAAACTCTTGCACAATGCTGGTGAGAATGTAAACCGATAACAATCATTTTAGAAAATTGTTTGAAATAACCTACAAAAGCTGAGTCAACACATACTCCAAAATTCATCAATTACTCTTCTTGGTATGCACTAAAGAGAAATGTGCTACCAAAAGAAACAAACAAGAAGATTCACAGAAAAAATTTGTGAAATAACTCTAAGCTAGAAACAAACTTCATGTCCATCAAAAATAGAATGAATAAATTATGGTATTTTACACAATGAATACTGCACAGCAATGAAAATTAGTGAACTATAGCCACACACAACAGCATGGATCAACCACACTGACTTAATTTTGAGCAAAAAAAACCAAAACAAAAACAAATAAAAACGAATAAATACTATATGACTCCCTCTCTATACAGTTCAAAAAGCTGACAAATCTAAACAAAAGTGTTTCATGATTTAGGCTTAGTGATAACATTATAAAGAAAAGGGAGAAAGTCATGATAAAGGCCAGATTAAGAGTCCCTTTGTGGAAAGTAACAACCGTGAGAGGAAGAAGGGGGTTTTCTGGGATGCTAGCAACATTTTATATATTTTTAAAAACATGAATAGTAGTTACGAGTATGTTTACTTCATGATAATTCAGAATTGTTTTCATTTTGTTGTATATGAGGAATGACAAGTTTGTGAACTCATCCTAGAAGTGCTACACACCCAATTTCTGCATATCACTATGGTCATCTTCTAAGTACTCTCCTTGGGAAGCTATGCACTAATACCAGTACCTTGTTCACCATCAAAGTAATTTTGGGACTCTTTTTTGGGATGGCCATCAGAGTTGTCATTGTATTACCCTCAACATCCTGAATGTCATCAAAATATCTTCCTTTCAATATTTCCTTTATCTTTGGGTAAATAAAAAAGTCATTGGGGGCCAGAACAGGTGAGTAGGGAGGGTGTTCCAATAGTTATTTGTTAACTGGCTAAAAACTCCCTAACAGACAGTGCTGTGTGAGCTGGTGCATTGTCGTGATGCTAGAGCTCCTTTTGGATCATTTTTGTACACACTTTTCTCATGCCAAGATTTTCCTGATGGTCTCTTTGTTGATGTTTATTTGGTCTGCTATGCTTCTCACAGTCAGCTGACAATTTTGACACACAATTTGATAAACTTTTTGCAATGTTTTTATCAGTTCTGCTTGTTACTGGCTGTCCTGACCTCTCTTCATCAGTGATGATTTCTCTCATCTCAGAAAAACGTTTAATCCATTTGTACACTGCCATTTTCTTCATGACCTTATCTCCATAAACTTGGACTAACATGCCCCTAATTTCACTTCCACTCTTGCCAAGTTTAACAAGAAATTTAATGTTTGTTCTTTGCTCTATTCAAACTCCAACCGTCTCGCAATGACAGCTCTGATGGCCATTCAAGAAAAAGAATTCCAAAATTGCTTTGATAGATGGACTAGGTGCTAGCATTGGTGCATAGCTTCCCAAGGAGAGTATTTGAAGGTGATCATAGTGATATTCAGCAATGAGGTATGTAGCATTTTTTTCCAGGATGAGTTCACAAACTTAGATCTTGTATACCTTGCTGCATGTGTGCAATATTTTACAATAAAGAGAACAAAAAAGTTGCTTCCCTCCCCATTTCATACCTGGCACAGCATAAATTTCAGGGGGTCCTCTGGCTTTTCATAGACTAAGTTTTCAGTGATCTGCTGAGAGAGAGAGTATAAAGTATCACGTTTAAGCTTTGAGTGAAAGTTATGTGGTCAGGTTATATCTGATGCTATCTTTCCCACTAACCTAACATGTACCACTGCACTTTTACTTTTTTTCAGAGATAGGGACTCATTCTGTTATGCAGGTTGGAGTGTAGCAGTGTGATCATAGGTCACTGCACCCTTGAACTGAATTGAATCAATCCTCCTGTCTCAGCCTCCCAAGTAGCTAGGACTATAGGGTACACACCACCACACCTGGTTAACTATAGCATTTTGAAGAAATTTATATATCTTTACAAAGTAACAACTTTATTACTACTGATAAAGCTAGGCAAATTAAGAAAAAATTGGAGAAATAAAAATTTAGTAAAAAATAACAATGAATATTTTTACTAGTTTTCTTTTCTTTTCTTATTTTTTTTTGAGTTGGAGTTTCACTCTGTCGTCCAGACTGGAGTGCAGTGGCTGCTCCCGGCCACCGCAGCCTCGACCTGCTGGACTCCAGCGATCCTTCCACCTCAGCCTTCCAAGTAGCTGGAACTACAGGTGTGCGCTACCACGCCGGGCTAATTTTTGATTTATTGTAGAGATGAGGTCTCGCCAAGTTGCCCAGGTGGGTCTCGAACCTTCAGGCTCAGGCAATCCACTCACCTCAGCCTCCCAAAGGCACGGAATTACAGGCTGAGCCACCGAGCCTGGCTCTAGTTTTCAAAATCAAAGAAATAGTGTGAAAATATTGGAGAAAGTCCTCATTTTGAGAATTCTGGTCTTGCTAGACTGGGAAATTAGTAAATTATTTGCTTTGTATATGGTGAGAGATAGGGGTCCAGTTTCACTATTCTGCATATGGCTAGTCAATTTTCCCAGAACCATTTATTGAATAGGGTGTCCTTTCCCCATTGTTTATTTTTGTTGGCTTTGTCATAAATGTGAGACCTGAAACTATACAAATCCTAGAAGAAAATCTAGGAAACACTTCTTCTGGTCATTGACCCAGGCAAATAATTTATGATAAAGACCCCAAAAACAATTGCAACAAAGCCCAAAATAGACAAATGAGACTTAATTAACCTAAAAAACTTCTGCACAGCAAAATAATCAACAGAGTGATAAGAAATCTTACTGAATGGGAGAAAATATTTGTAAATTACACTTCAGACAAAGAGCTAATATCCAGACTCTACAAGGAACTAAAGCAACTCAACATGAAAAAAACAAATAACTTCATCAAAAAGTGGGCAAAGGACGTGAACACACGTCTCAAAAGAAGACACACAAGTGGCCAAAAAACATATGAAAAAATGCTCATCACTAACCATCAGAGAAATGAAAATTAAAACCACAATGAGATATCGCGTTACACCAATGAGAATGGCTATTATTATAAAGTCAAGGAACAACAGTTGTTGGTGCGGTTGTGAAGAAAAGGGAATGCTCACCCACTGTTGGTGGGACTATAAACTAGTTCAACTTCTACGAAAAGCAGTATAGAGATTTACAAAGAACCAGAAATTGAATTGTCATTTGAACCAGCAATCCCACTACTTGGGATCTACCCAAAGGAAAAGAAATCAATATTTAAAAAGATACCCATACTCGTATGTTCCTTACAGCACTATTCATAATGGCAAAATCATGGAACCAACGTAAGTGCTCACCAACAAATGACTAGTTAAAGAAAATGTGGTATATATACATCATGGAATACTATACAGCCATAACCAAGAATTAAATCATGTCCTTTGCAGCAATATAGATGGAGCTGGAGATCATCATCCTAAGTGAACTGACGCAGAAACACAAAACCAAACACTGCATGTTCTCACATATGTGGGAATTAAATGGTCACCAAGATGAAAAATAGACACTGGGGACACAAATAAGGGAAAAGGTGGGGGGACATCAGGGTTCAGAAATTACGTATGGGGCACATTGTTCACAATCTGGGAAATGGGTTACCTGAGACCCAATCCCTATCACTATACAACAAACATGCTTGTGTACTCCCTGAATTTAAAATACAAAAATAAATTGTTGTTTTAAAGAATAAAGAGGGCTGGGCATGGTGACTCATGCCTATAATTCCAGCACTTAGGGAGGCTGAGGTAAGAGGATTGCCTGAGCCCACAGGTTTGAGTCCAGCCTGGACAACTTGGTGAGACCTCATCTCTACAATAAATCCCCCCAAAAAAAGACAAAGAAAGAAAGAAAGGAAGAAAGAATAAGAGAAGCCCTTTGCATAAAAATGTAAAACACTTATGATTTTGCACAGAAACTTCCTTCTGAGGCATTTGATTCTAAATGGTGAAATGAGGTTCAGTATTGTATTATTAAATGAGAAAGTATATATAAACTCCCAATTCACTATCCTCCTTTTCTGTTATTGAATCAATCAAAAATTTTAATAAAGTAAGTACAATTCTCATTTATAGGAAATAACAGGCAAATTTCAGGTATAAAATATTCAGGTTTGTTTAAAATACCCACATCATTCAATGATGTATTTCATATATATTTCTATTAAACACATATCTGATTACTAATTTTTCTTATAACCACATTGCTTGCATAAACATTGTTTTTTTCTTGACAGAAGAAGAAAATTATTTATAAAATTATCAAAACTCTACTCTGTTAAGCAGATTTCATCCTTCAGTTTAATAATTAGTAGTTCTTTAAAGTCAAACACAGCCATTAGTACTCCCTCAACAAAAGGATATTTGAAAAAGGAAAAAGAATAGACCAGGGATAATGAAGTAGACATCACTTATCTCTATTTTTCTTTTTCTTTTTTTTTTTGAGTTGGAATCTCACTCTGTCGCCCAGACTGGAGTGCAGTGGCCGCTCTCCCGGCCACCGCAGCCTCGACCTGCTGGACTCCGGCGATCCTTCCGCCTCAGCTTTCCAAGTAGCTGGAACTACAGGCGTGCACTATCATGCCTGGCTAATTTTTTGATTTATTGTAGAGATGAGGTCTTGCCAAGTTGCCCTGGTGGGTCTTGAACCCGCAGGCTCAGGCAATTCACTCACCTCAGCCTCCCAAAGCGCGGGATTACAGGCTGAGCCACCGAGCCCGGCTACTTATCTCTATTTTATATGAGGACTCTAAAGCTCATAGATGTTAAGTAATTGTCATTATGACACAAATATGAGGAGTGGCAAACTTAGGATTTGAGCCTTGGGCTAACTGATTGCAAATTTGTGCTTATTCCTCTATTTCTTTCTTCTTTAAATTTAAACTTTTTCAGTTTAAGTATTTTCATTTGAGACAGACCATTCTTATTTTACATCTTTCCAACCACAAAGTTACTTCATATACATATGTTATTATAGTATATGTATCCATACATTCCGGGGTAAATAATATTAACAAAAATAAACATACCAGCCAAACAAAAACAAAAACAACTCACTGTATATAAATATGTAGAGAGGTGATACTCTCTTGTGACTTCATTTTAGCCAAGGAATGTCCCATATCCTGAGGTTAACAAGATATGTAATTTTAAGAATCAGAAGCAACTTTAAATTATTATGTTTTACTTCTAGAGAATGTGGATTCTTAGATAGTCACAAGATTGGTCATGTTTTGAAAGTACAACTATGAGTCATATAATGATATTTTGGTCAAGGATAGACCCGTAAACAATGGTTTTATAAGATTATAATGAAGCTGAAAAATTCCTGTTACATAGGGACATTGTAGGTATCATAATATTATAGTGCAACACATTACTCATGTGTTTGGGGTGATGCTGGTGTAAACAACCTACTGCACTTCCTGTCATATAGAAGAATAGCACATGAAGCTATATATGGCACATAATACTTGATAATAATAACAAACAACTATGTTACTGGTCTATGTATTTACTATACTATAATTTTTATTATTATTTTAGAGTATACTCCTTCTACTTATTATATTAAAAAAAAAAGTTAGTTGTAAAACAGCCTCAGGCAGGTCCTTTAGGAAGTAGTCCAGAACAAGGCATTTTTATCATCAGGGATGACAGCTACATACACATTATTGCCCCTGAAGACTTTCCAGTGGGACAAGATATGGAGGTGGAAGACAGTGATATTGATGATCCTGACCCTGTGTAGTTTATGGTAATGTGTGTACCTGTGTCTTATTTTTTTAACAAAACAGTTTGAAAAAATTAAAAATAGCACAAAGTTTACAGGATAAGAATATAAAGGGAGGAACTATTTTTGTACAGCTATACAGTATGTTTGTGTTTTAAGCTGTGTTATTACAATAGAGTGGAGAAAAGTTAAAAGAAAAGTTTATAAAATACAATCATTACAGTAAGCTAAGGTTAATTTATTATTGAAAGAGAAATTTTTAAATAAACTCAATGTAGCCTCAGTGTACAATGTTTATGATCTCTACAGGAATGTACAGCAATGTCCTAGATCTTCACATTTACCCACCACGCACCCACTGACTTACCCAGAGCCACTAACTTCCATTCCTTCAATCTCCATTTATGGTCAGTGCCCAGTACAAGTGTGCCATTTTAAATCTTTCATACGGTCATTTTACTGTATTTTCTATGTTTTGATACACAAATACTTACCATTGAGTTACAATTGCCTATAGTATTCAATACAGTAACATGCTATACAAGTTTGTAGTCTAGGAGAAATAGGCTATATCTTATATCTAGGTTTGTGTAAGTAACTCAATGATGTTCACACAATGACAAAATAGCCTAATGATACATTTCTCAGAACTCTCAGAATATATTTCTGTCATTAAGCAACACATGATGGTATGATACCTCTGCCTGGAAAGTCTTTTCTCTTCTTGCCAATTGTCAATATTTTGTCCTTCCTTCCTAGCCTGGCTAAAACTTTAACCCTTGGCCAAGTTTTTCCCTACCAACCAACCTACCTGAATTCTAATCCCTCTGAAGGACTTCATTTCATGGTATCATCTATTTGGTGTTTATCATTTGCTACTTTTAGTAAATATATCTTTTTTTTTTTGAGTCGAAATCTCACTCTGTTGCCAGGCTGGAGTGCAGTCACATGCCCATGGCCATTGCAGCCTCGACCTGCTGGGTTCAGGTGATCCCTCTGCTTTAACCTTCCAAGTAGCTGGAACTACAGGCATATGCCACCACACCCAGCTAATTTTTAAAAAAAACTTATTGTAGAGATGAGGTCTCACCACGCTTCCCAAGCTGGTCTCAAACCCGTGGGCTCAGGCAATCTTCTTGCCTCCACCTCCACCTGCTGAGATTACAGGTATGAACCATTGTGCCCAGTCAGTAAATACATCTTAATGCACTTATTAAAGTCTCAGAATATATCCCTTTTTACAGCATACACCCTTTCTTGTAACTCTTGAAAAATGTACAGTTAAAGAAAGAGATTGAGAGGTTTACCTGGAATATTTGCAGAATGTGGTGTTTTTCCATGTATTGGAGTGAAACTTGATAAGGATCTTCATATACTATAGAAGGGAACCTCCTCTTATAAGTTAGATTGGGCATATAACTCTTTTCCTGCTTGAGTTCTGAAAATTCATCCTGAAATTTAAATCCCCCCCCCCAAGAGCCTTTAATAAATCTAAAAGCACCAGGAATAATTGTTATCAGTGTAATCTGGTGTTGATGTGGCCTTAACATCAGGAATTGGAGAAAAGACACATTTTTATGAGAGACTTGGCTTGGTTTTCCAGGCAATATAATACATCTCAGGCCCTAGGAGTTACTTTAGGCATCTCCAATCGACTTCAAATACTTTCCACTTCACGGGGATTTCCAGCCAACTTAAAATTCCTTTCCCTTGGTAGAGAAGGAAAATGAAAGAGAAAAATGACTTAGTATCACAGAGTTAGTTAGCAGAACCAGGACTTGAAGCCCAGGTTTCCTGAATCCTAGCTCATTAGTCCTTTCTGAATGACCTTAGGGTAGTAGAGAAGGCAATACATCTCTCAATACATCCCACACTTCTGCCCTTCCTGAAACTTATGGGTCACACCTACTGCAATATATGGGTTTATTCCTCATCCTTGATCCAACACGTACCCTCCCTCTCTTTATCCCTACCCATACTCCCTCAGGTCCTGTCTTGTTCTCCATTTCACCTACAGGGTTTGTTTCTATAGCTTGAGTTTTTTCTTGACCGGTGAGATAGTCCAGTTTGGATGAGACGAAGGAGAATACTGGGGAAAAGTCTTGGTTTTTTGTTTGATTGCTACTGGTGAATCTGGCATCTACTGATCTATGGGTTTGAGTAATGAATACTACACATTCACTTTCAGTTTCAGCTTCAGTTTCCATTTCTGCTGAAAGCTTGGAACTGAGGTCTGTTTGGCTATCTTCAAATCTGCAGGGTTGTACTCTGTCGTCAGCCTCTTTGTCCTCCTTGATGTCACCAAACTGGGGAAATGGTCTGTCCTCAGACTGGCCAAGTGTTCTGTAGTAAGACAGGTGGTCTTTGTGATCAGTTTGTTTGTCCAGTAAGTGGTCAGATTCACTGTGGTCAGCCTTGTCAACTGGAAGTTTATCAGCATGGCTATCAGCTTGGTCAATAGCCTGGTGTTTAGCTTCTTCAGTGGCTTGGTCATACACTAGGTGGAGAGTCTTTAAAGATGGTCTTTGTTCAACCAGGCCAGACAACCTGGGGTCAATATGTTCAGAGGTTCCTAGGTCAGCCAGACCAGATAAGTTGTGGTCAATGTGCACAGTTCTTTTCTCAGCCTGGCCAGACATTATGTGGTCAACCTGTTCAGAGTCTCTTTGGTCAGATGACTTGGACAGTGTACTGTCAATCTGCACCGTTATTTTCTCTGTCTGGCTGGACATTCTGTGGTCAATCTGTTCAGAAATTCTTCTCTCAGCCTGGTCAGACTCTCTGCGATCAATCTGTTCAGAAGTTCTTTGGTCAGATGGCATAGGCAATCTACTGTCAGTCTGCTCAGAAGTTCTCTCGTCCTGGCCTGACATTCTGTGGTCAATCTGCTCAGAAGCTCTTTCGTCAGATGGCATAGATAATTTATCATCAATCTGCTCAGAAGTTCTCTCATCCTGGCCTGACATTCTGTGGTCGATCTGTTCAGAAGCTTTTTTATCAGATGGCATAGATGATCTACTGTCAATCTGCTCAGAAGTTCTCTCGTCCTGGCCTGACATTCTGCGGTCAACCTGCTCAGAAGCTCTTTCATAAGATGGCACTGGCAAGCTACTGTCAATCTGTTCAGAAGTTCTTTCAGCCTGGCTTGATATTCTGTGATCATCTTGTCCAGAAGCTCTTCTATCAAGCTGGCTAGACAATCTGTGGTCAGTCTGCCCAGAAGCTCTCCTCTCAACCTGGCCTGACATTCTGTGATCAATCTGCCCAGAAGATCTTCTATCAGCCTGGCCAGACAATCTGCGGTCGGTCTGCCCAGAAGCTCTCCTCTCAGCCTGACTAGACAGTCTGCGGTCAATTTGCATAGAGGTTCTTTGGTCAGATGCTAAGGACAATCTGTGGTCAATCTGCTCAGAAGCTCTTTCAGCCAGGCCAGACTTTCTGTGGTCCATCTCTTTGGAAGGCCTTCTCTCAGCCTGGCTAGATAGTCTGTGTTCAGTTTGTTCAGAAGTTCTTCTTTCAGCCTGGCTAGATGATCTTCGTTCAGTCTGCTCAGAAGTTCTTTGGTCAGTCAGGCCAGACCCCTGGCCATCACTCTGTTCAGGCTCTACGTTATTGGCTTGGCTAGATGCCTGGCCTTCAGTCCGTTCAGGTGATTTTTGGTCAGCCTGATCAGACGCTCTAAGGTCAGTACCATTAGCATGGCTGGATGCCCCGCTGTAGGCCTGACCAGATGTGCTATGCCCGGAGTAGTCAGACACTTTGTGGATATCTTGGTCAGATATGTCGGGGTTAGCCTGGCCAGACACTATTCGGGCAGTCTGGTCAGCTATTCTGTGACCAGTTCGATCATCTGCTTCCCCTTCAGCCTGGTTCTTCTGGTTGTCTTTTTCCTGGCCATTCGTGTGCCCAGCAGTTGAGGGAGCGTCTGTGCTTTCATGTTCCAAGGATTCAGCCCGAGCCTCTTCGGGAGGCTCTTCCATTGCCTGCCGGGTCCCTGACTGGTCTAGCTTGCTGTGCGCTGTGGGCGGGGCTGAGCTGGGTCGTCTAGGCGACCTTCTAGGAACGCGACAACTGTCTGCGGCCTTTGTTCCAGTCTCGGCGCCTGGCTCTTCTGGGTGGGCAGGTGAGTGGACGCCTGGCTGCTGCGAGGGGAGGGACTTACCGTTAGCTGATGCTGCGGTGTGGACGCGAGCGCCGGGGCGACTCCCTCTCCGGAGAAGAAGTGATTCCCACACTGGCAACTAGAGCGTCTGGGCCATCACCTAGTGGCTAGGCTTCAGGGCTCTCCGTGCATGGACGTCTAGAGCCTTACCTTCCTGGTTTCTCAGGGCTTCACGGGGGAGTGGACAAATAGGCTCTCTCTCAGGGGCTGCTCCTGTAATGAACCCTCCGCCCCAACTGTTAACAAGAATAGCAACCGGCTGCCTGAGGACCACAAACCTGAGCACAGGTCGCCATTGCCACTGAATCAAATTCACACTTCATCTGATACTAACCTTTGTCTCTAGTCACAGCTGTAATGCACTGTAGGAGATTAGATTGGGTCCTGTGCTAGTCAATGATCCTACTAAATGCTATTTTTCTTAGATCATCAGTAATGCGTGACACTACCATATCACGTCCTTTTATTCTCTTTCACAACCATTTTCAGTACTATCTTGGCTGTGCCAGTGCTGATGGTTTTTAGTAGTAGTACCAGGAAGAGTGTATTCCTCCTAATGCTTATGCTATTAAAGTTATAGGGATCTCTCCTCACAGGAGTGTAAGGAGGAGGTTTTGCTCCCCTCTCCGCTCCCATCTCCTGCCCCTCACACCCCTTGGCGGTTCATTCCTGCAAGAGCATCCTCATCCCTGTCTTGAAGGACAGACGAACAGCTGTTTTCCGTTCTCTTTGGTAAGGGTTGTCCTGACAAGCTCCCAAGGTGTTTTCTTGCTGAATTAGACATGTGACCTGTGGCTGGAGAGCCAGGGGGAAGAGAGAAGAGCCTGTGAGAGTGGGTTCTGAAATCACACCATCTGGTAATCTTACAGCGCAAAGGAGAGTTAGGCGAAGAAGGCCAAAACGGAGTTCCAGGAAGGGAGTAAGGAAAATGGGAGAAAGATACCAGAAGGAATATTTAACAAGTGGAGAATTTGCACTTAGCTGTGTTGATGGGTGAGGTCTAGGTTTTGAGATTTGGCCCTCCCCTTTTGAAATCAACCTTAAGAGCGCACTTCAGAGTCAGCTGGCTCTACTTTCACGGATAGGGCAGTCCAGAGGTGCTGATTGATGAGACATTTTACTTTGACCCCCAAAACCTAAAATCACTGAGGCAGGCCAAGGGTTGGTTGTGTGATGCCAGATATTCCTTTGATAGGGATTTAATTTCCTCCAGCAGTTAGAGATGAGATGAAGTTCAAATGCAAATAGTTGTGATTTAGGTAACGGGGAGAGTGGGGTGCTGTTGGTGTCATAGGAGCAGAAAGGGGAATCCAAGTACACTGAAGTAAAATCATTTATGTAATAATGCCCAGCACATAGTAGGTGCTCAAGAAGTGCTTGTTGAATATAAATTTATGAATTATCTGCCTTATTTATTTAAAAATGCATGACACAAATGGACACCATGTTTAGAGTAAATTAGGCTATGACTATGGTTTGCATTTCAAAGGGTCATTGGTCTTGAGGAGAGTTATTTTTCCTCTTTATAATTTAAATGTAATTATTGTAGAAAAGTACCAAAAAAACCCCCAAAAACCAAGCATAAAAAAAGTTCCTGACTGGGCAAGGTGGCTCAAGCCTGTCATCCCAGCACTTTGGGAGGCTGAGGTGAGAGAATTGCCTGAGTTCAGGGGTTCACGACCAGCCTGGGCAAGTTGGGGAGAACTTGTCTCTACAATAAATCAAAAATAAGCCAGATGTGGTGATGTGTGCCTATAGTTCCAGCTACCTGGAAGGCTGAGGTGGAAGGATCGCCTGAGCCCAACAGGTCAAGGCTGCACTGGCTGTGAGCGTGCCACTGCACACTAGCATGGATGACAGAATGAGACTCTGACTCAAAAAAAAAAAAATTCTTTTATTTACATTTTGATGCGTATCCTTCTGGAAATGCCCCAAGCAAATCTGTATATCTCTATCTATAGGTAGGTGTATATTTTATAAAATGATTATTTTATTGTTTGAGATCTTTCTTCTTTTTAATGTGACTGTTTATAGTGATAAATTTTTAGGTGATGCTTATGCTGCATCTCATAAGATTTTGATGTGTTATGTTTTTATTTTCATTCATCTAGATATTTTCTCTTTTTCGTTGTGATTTCTTCTTTAGCACATTGATTGTTTAAAGGTATGTTGTTTAATTTTTAAATATCTATGAATTTTCCAGCTTTTGTTCTCTTATTGATTTCTAGCTTATCCCACATTGTTTAGTGAAGATAGTATGATTTCAACCTTTTAAAGTATATTAAGGCTTATTTTGTGACCTAACATATGGTCTATCTAGGAGAATGTTTCATGAGAAGAATGTGTATTTGCTATTGTTGGGTAGACTAGAATGTTCTTTATATGTCTATTAGGTATAATTAACTGTTCAGGTCCTGTATTTTCTTTCTTTCTTTTTTTGAGTTGGAGCCTCACTCTTGTCACCCAGGATGGCATGCAGTGGCACGTTCACAGCCACTGCAGCCTTGACCTGCTGGACTTAGGTGATCCTTCCACCTTAGCCTTCCAAGTAGCTGGAATTACAGACTCACGCCACCATGCCTGGCTAGTTTTTCTCTGATTTATTGTAGAGACGAGGTCTCACCAAGTTGCCCAAGCTGGTCTTGAACCCCTGGGCTCAGATAATCTTTCTCTTACCTCGGGCTCCCAAAGTGCTGGGATTATAGGCTGAGCCATTGCACCCAGCCACCTGTATTTTCTTAATGATATTCTGTCTAGATGTTCTATTCATTATTGAAAGTGGGGTATTGAAACCTAAAAAAAAAGAAAAGAAAAGAAAGAAAGTGAGGTGTTGAAGTCTCCAACTATTAATGCAGGATTGTCTTTTATTTCTTTCTTCATGTCTATCAATGTGTGCTTCCTATATTTTTTAGCTCTGTTGTTTGCCACAAATTATTATCCTATCTTCTTGTTTAATTTATCCTTATCAATATATAATGTACCTCTTTGTTGCTCATAATGTGATAGGCTAAAAAGACACCATTCCATTTTGGTTGTATTAGAACAGTCATTTAGAAAAGACTTAAAAACTTGTATTCTTTTGTAGCTGAGTTGGGTTAAACATAAAAGCCATTTGGATTCAAAAGTGTACATTTTTCCTATCCCCCTCTCTCCTTTCCCCTGCTTCTCTTCTCCTAGCATGGCCTTTCCTGACTGGTCAATCTTATCTAGTAAGCCATTGCTGGTGCTACAGAAGAAACAGCTGGGCAAGCCAGATCACCTAATGATTAGGAGTGGACCAAGGCTGGCAGGAGTGTGTCTGAAAACTTGGAGTGGGCATTGCCCACCCTCCCTCTGTCTGTGAATATGAGGACATTGGACTGTTATAGTCTCGGGCTCTGGGAATAAAAGATTGCTGCAATTATGTTTTAAAACAATTTAAGTTACCATCTTATATGTTGTGACTTTCCCTTCCTTCCAAAGATAGCAATTGTCTGTCCTGTTCTCTAAAAAACTGTCAAAGAGTGTATTGTAAATTCTGAAATGTTATTTAAAAATGCCAACGTGACCAGGAGACTTTGTGTCATGTCAGTGATCACATAGCAAAAGTTGTTAATGTAAATTCTGAATCATACTAAAACTGCACATAGGTTTCAAACTCTGTGTGGGCAAAGGGCTATCAATTTTGGGTATAAATACTGGAATGAATTTGTGTTGCTTGGAATAGGATTTTTGGCAATGATGCCAGCCTGTCTCCTTATAATCTAGTTATAGAAATTAAACAACTCCCTTTTCTCCCATACTGTGAAATATCTTTCCATCCTTGTATTTTCAACCTACTTGTGTCTTTGGAACTAAGAAGAGTCCCTTGTTTATAACATAAGAGGAGGAACCCAAAAAACCCTAGAAATCATTTACGAAAAATTATGTATTTATTCTTACATGTTTAAACTTCAGTCACCTTCAAAATACAATCCATTTGATGCAATACACCTATCAAGATGCTTTTTCTACTCCTCAGAACAGTTTTTTTTTTGAGTTGGAGTCTCACTCTGTCGCCCAGACTGGAGTGCAGTGGCCGCTCCCGGCCACCGCAGTCTTGACCTGCTGGGCTCCGGCGATCCTTCCGCCTCAGCTTTCCAAGTAGCCAGAATTACAGGCATGTGCTACCACGCCTGGCTGATTTTTTGATTTATTGTGGAGATGAGGTCTCGCTGCCCAGGCGGGTCTCGAACCCGCGGGCTCAGGCAATCCACTCACCTCAGCCTCCCAAAGGCGCGGGATTACAGGCTGAGCCACCGAGCCCGGCCAGAGCAGTTTTTAAACTCATCAATTTTAATGCCTTCTAGTGCTTCTACCATTTTTTGTTTCATCTCTTCCACATCGGCAAAATGTTTCCCTTTGAGGACTTTTTCATCTGGGCAAACAAAAAAACAAAAACTCAGAGTGAGATCGGGTAAGCCGGGAGGGTAGAGCATGGGGGTCATGCTGTTTTTGGTCAAAAACTGCTGAACACTCAGTGTGATGTGTGCGTGGTGTGCTTGTAAATCACCCATCATGGAATGGGCAAATGTGTTGAAAGAATTAAAAAAAAAAAATTCATTGACGCCATACAGAGCCTCTGACAATAATGCTAGCTGGCACACTGATGTTAATGGGTTCCTAGCAGGAGAAGTCTGGACTACAAAGGGCCCACTCCTCAAAAAGTATTTTGGTTTTTGGGGTCCCCTCTCATATAATTGGATTAAAAAATCAATTTTGCCAATCTGTGTTTTTTAATTGGAAAGTTTAATTCATCTACATTTAAAGTAATACTTATCAGGAAGGACTTCTGCCATT